ACTCATGTCTTGTTAGGGAGACCACTTCATAGTCGGTGTAGAGGCCTGACCACTGCACTGTATTTCTGAAGCTGATGTTGAATAATATTGTATGTTAACTATAATTATATATACATATAGTCACGGGATGTGGAGTGGAGTGTGGGAATGGAGTCAATGGAATTGTAATAGATAAGCATGATATCGGGGGTGGGAGGGCAGTAGATGGGGGAGAGGGTTTGTTTCTGTGCAAAGAGTGAGAAGGATAACTATTGCATTGTTCTGTACACCTGAAACTAACAATTAAAAAAAAAGTTATTTTTTTCAAAATAATTCTGATCTCACTAGTTTGCAATTTATTGATCTATTATTTTCCTGTTTTGCCTCATCTAAGCATTTTTTATCTAGACTCTACTAGTCTGATATGTCCCTAAATAGCAAAATGTATATTTAAAATTTTTTTTGAATTTAAAAGTTTTATTCTTACCAAGCCAGACACTGACTTTGTTTGTTTGGTATTTATTTGTTTTATTTCATTTTGTTCTTACTATAATATAAAAGATATGAGGGTAGAAAGTATGTTTGTCTTGCTTACTTTCATGTTCCTAATACACTGCACACAAGTGGCTGGTACATAGTAAGTGCACAATAAATATTTTTTGAAAAAAATGGAATAAAATAGCTTCCTTTACTTACCTTGCAGCTTACAGAATTTTAGCCAGCAATTAACATGTCCATCCATTTTCATTCATCAACACATCCTGTGTGGTTTTAGACACCTATACCTGAGTAATCTTTGGCTAATTTTAGACTTCCTTTTAGTCTTTGGTACAATGTGCTAGGAGAAATATCCAAGGCTGAAAATATTCTCCATTTTACTTTTGCTCTTTTCACATGAAAACGTTTGAGGAGATGGAGGATGGAGATGGCTACATGATGTTGAATCGCAAAAATCTTTTCAAATCCAGGCAGAGATCTAAAGGTAGGGATACTGTTTCTCCTCACTCAGACTCCTGTTTAAAATTGGGTTATTCTCATAGGAAGACAATTATGTTTGAATACTTTTAAAGTGCTAAAGTTAACTATATTCTGGGATTTAAAAAAATGGACATAAGTTGTCTGAGATAGGTTATTTAGATTAATGTAAGCATCAAATAAAAGACAAAACAAAAAAGTATTTTTGCAGCCATGGGGCCTGAGAGGAGCTAATAAGATGATGTATGGTCTCTTCAATGTTGTAGCATAAGAATAAAAAGGTAACTTTCAAGTAAAAGGTCAAAGTTAGCTTTTTTTTTTTACAGAAATTATTCCTCCTACAAAACATAAGGTTCTTGGAAGTAATTATTTGAGTATGATATCTATATTAAGATGCCTAGTAGAAGTAGCAGTGGTTCTAAGGAATTTTACAGCTTAAAAAGCATTTTCATATATACATATTTTATTTTTTTAATTGTCCAAAAAGAGCCATGGAATTGGCAGAGTAGTCTATTGGGAATGAGAGAAGGGCAAAATAAAAGAAAACATTAATCTTTTCTACTTAGGGCTGCTGTATCTGGTCTAAGTTTTTTTCTGTTTGGTTTTTTTTTCCGGATCTGTTATATGTACTATAGACAAATTTAATAATAACAAGATTCTAAATTCTTGGTCTAAAACAAATTTTTAAAATAATCCTGTTGAAATAGTCAAGGTCTAAGCTGGGATTGTCAGGTCAGAAATTTAGAATTGCTGGTGAAAAACAGCTCTGCCATATGTACTCTTGTTGAATGTCCTTATGTACCATCCCGATTTTCATCTAGTGAATTCAAGATTTTTTTTTTCAAAAACATGATACTTTTGTCAACATCTGGAAGCTCAAAGTCCTATTCATGATCTGAATGTCAGGAAACAAACACTTCCTTTTTCACCAGTGACTTAACTAGGAGTTAACTTGGAGTTAAATTGACTGAATTGGACAGTTAATCCCATAGACTTCTGCGTGGCCTTGGGCAAAATATTTTGTTTCTTAAATATCAATACCTTTATTTATAATAAAGCAAATCTACCTTGTGATTTTTATGTAGATGCTAAACTAAATTATTAACTATTTTTTTATCTTGTTTATAAACCACCTTGTAATAGACAGGTCAGTAAAATCTATATAAAATTTGAGTGTAGATACCATAAACATCCATTTAAATAATAAGTGAAATAAAGATCCAGCTAACAAGAAAAAGTAGTCCTGCAATTAAGCAAACATTACATTACTATGAGCATTTTTTTGTGTGTCATAAATTTGTTTCTAAGCTTCTTTGTAATTGATGAGTAAGGGAAACCTAACCAGTTATTTGACTTGCCTTATAAGACAATTACGCCTATTGTTTAAGATGGATATAAGTAATCTTGTTATTAAATCCAGAAAAAAAAATTCCCATCACAAAGTAGATAGTAATAATATTAGTGTTGTTGCAGTAATGATAAGAGGTTTCATAGAGCACTTTCCTAATACTGCCCTTGGGATGCCAATGGTATCCAGCTGAGCATTTCTGGAATGGGCCAATGCAATGCAATCTAGGCACTCAGCTCTCTGGATACCTGGCTTGATATAGTAGGTACATTGTGGCTTAGATAAAAGAATAGTAATCTTTAATTTATAGCTATAATGTTATTTGGCAATGAGTTTAAAATTTTCCTTCCTGGCAAGTATGGAACCAGTTAATTGCATATGCCTAGACTTGGTATTCCCTCATAACTTGCAGAAATGTATTTTGAGGATTTTCAGCTATGTAGAGGTCTTTCTACTTTTGCTGGAGTAAAGAAACAGCCACCAGCAAGAAAAAATAATAAAAACTTACTTTGGATTTCTTTTGTAATACAGACAATAGGGCAGTGAATTTCAAAAGTTCTACTATATACAGCACATTCTATAGCTGTGTACTATAGATATAAAGAGATACACTAAGTCCATAAGTATCAATTGAAATAAAACATCTAACTATTACCCATATTTGAGAAATAGCCCTCTTTTATTATGACTTAGAACATGAATTATTTGTGAAATGTACAACCGCAGTAATGGAATTAAGTGCTTGTTTATTTATAAGCTAGGAAAAACTGGGGAATAATTAGCTGAGTATCAAGTTACTTGACTTTATTTTTGGCCACTAGCAAGGCAAATTGGCTGGAATGTTTCTACATTAAGAAAATATTTGTATCATTTATGCGTGTGAAAAGATATCTGTCTTCATTGTGCTTGTAGAAAGAGTGTATATATCTAATTTATTTAAAAGTGCTAATATGTGGACAAATATAGCCAAATTAAGAGAGAATAATAACACATATATCCCTGTTTAATGTCTGGAGGTTCCCCATTTATTCCTCTTTAAAGCGACTACTCCTGCCAACTCTGAGCCAAAAGAGTACTATGGCAAAAATTTTATATAAGCAGAATTAACCAGAAATCTATGCTGTTTAGGCTGACACTGATTCCTGTGCAAAAAGTCAAAGCCAGAGAAATATATCATATATAAAAGTGAGATAACATGTGAATACTCCCAGTACAGTGACTGGTACATAATAGAACTTTAATAAATATTCCTTTTCTTCATTTATTTTTAACAGTGAGTCATTAAAATAAATAACACACATGATATATATACACTTGGCATTGAACAATCCAAAAATGAAATAAAAAAACTAGTCAATTTACAATAGCATTATATATATATCATATATTACATATAATTCTACTTTCTATATATAATACATATGACATATAGAACATATATTATATATTATTTGATATGTATTTTATATACAATATAAAACATATATTTATATTATAGATTATGTTATGTTATATATAGAATATAAATTATATATTTACATTATATTTTAAATGTTAATATATAATACATATACCACTATACATTATAAATTACATATATATAAATATAGAGAGAATTTAATAAATCATTTTAAGTTATCAAAAGCATCACCAAATAATTATCAAAGAAAGACAGGAAAATGTTTATAAAGTGAATAATCACAAGAGTTCTAAAATTCATGAAAAACCATCTCAACATTTCAGATTTCTCCTTGTATCCACATTATTATTGTATTATGCTAGTATTTGGATGCATTGGGATTCTGATTTTCATGGTGACAGTGATTGGCCTGAACTTTTGTGGTGAGTATGGAGTTCATTTATTTTTGCACTTTTGAAAGATAAATTGATCTTGAATTCTTCATAATATTAAGATCAGATCCACATTCTAGTCCAAAAGTGGCAAATTAAACTTTCTAGCCATATGTCATATTACAAAATTCTTTAAAATTTAAGAAACACTCAAATGTAAAATAAGTACTTATTCTGTATCTTTTCTTTTGAATAACCTTCACTAAAAGGTTGACTTATTATTTTTTTAACAAGTAGTGATGTATTTTACAGAGTATGTGCTTATTAGTATCACTTGAGAGATAATTTAAATGTAGAAATGTGCTAGCTGAAAAAAAAGACCTATTTGAAAACCATTTTAGATGGACTTCACCTTTTTTTTTCTTAAGTTGTATTTAATATGTATATTCTGTACGCATACTTGAAATAACCAGACAAATTCATGGTTTCTATAATTTGCTGTGCTTCTCCTGAAACTGTGGTTCTTGAAAATGTAGGGCTAAAATATGTAATATTAACATGGAAACATGAACTCTGGGGGCCTTTGAAATTAGGTATCTAAATATAGACGAGCCTCAGGCTGGCCGAGTGGCTCAGTTGGTTAAGTGCTCCCTCAAGGGTGCGAGCTCTGAGCAACAGGGTGGTGGATTCAATTCCCAGCCTGAGCAGAGCTACCACTAAGCTGGCCAACAGGTGGCAGGATGGCTCAGCTAAAAAAATAAATAAATAGGGCCCGCCGAGTGGCGCAATGGTTAAGAACTGGCTTGGGATGCCAGAGGGCCCCAGTTTCGGATCCCACATATGAGGGCCAGTTACACTGCCCTCTACAGCTAAGATGCTGAACAACAGCTCAACCTGGAGCTGGGCTGCTGGAAGTCGCCAGCGACAGCGTAGGCTGTAGCCCCTGTGGCAATGGGTTGCCATGGGCTACCATGTGTAGCCAGCAGCCGCAGTGAGCGGCAGTCCAGAAGCCGGTGACTGATCTGCCTCACCCGGGAAGAGCGCAATGATGGTGCCAACTTGGGCCAGTGAAGCAACGTCCTCCACAACTAGACTGAAGAACAAAAGGACAGCAACTTGTCTGTTCCCCTTCCCCCAATTCCCCAGCACTGTTCCCATCCCTCCAATTCCCCAATAAAATTAAAAAAATAATAATAAAATAAAATTTAAAAAGATAAATATAGATGAGCCTTAAAGCAACTTCTCTGAGGGAGACAAAGAAGTAAAGGGTCTATTTTTTGGGGGCAACTATATATATATAACCCCCCCCCAATATAATAGTAGAAAATGTCAGACTTTTCTAAGACCAAATAAATGCTCTGCTTCAGGTGATTCTTCTGTACTTTGCACAGCATTTTGGTTGGGAAGCTGTCAACCAACCATATCCCTCAGATATGTTAAATAAACCCTTACATTGAAGTCAATTACTGATAATATGAAATCCTCTACCTTGTTAACATTTAATATTAGATGACTAATATTAGTTTTCATGAGTTAATCTAAGTAAGCATCATTTAACCAGTAATTCCAGGAAAATTGACTAGACTATAATAATTATTATAGCATTTTAAAAAGCCCTTAAAATTCAGGAGTAAATGGTTTCTTGTTAGGTACTGACTACAATATTTACAGGCCACCACTGCTCTCTTATGACACAGTTTTCTCTTCTGTAAAATATAAATGGTAAAAATCACATAATTTGTGCAATAGTCATTCTTTTTAAAAAAGATGCTATTGAGAAAAATCATTAAAATTTGACATATTGATGAAATATTAGTAGGGGTAATATTTTTTCCTAGTGATATTTTAAATTATAATAAATTAGTGAAAATTTCAGCATTTTTATGTCTATTAAGTTTGTGTTAGTAATTTGACCAGTTTAAAAATATTCCCCATGGCATTCAGGGCAAAACAAATTATTGATCATAAATATTTACATATGCTCTCCCAAGATTTTATATTAGAATAATAAACAATAACAAAATAAAATAAATTAATAAAAGTACAGAGAATGGAAAGAAAAGAAAAATTTAAAGAAAATGAAAAGCAATAGGATGTTATTGGATTAATCAATGAAGAGAACTACAATTCCAAGAAAGTACAACAAAGGGTTACAGTGTGGATGGAAGCCATTCCTCATGGCAAAACCCAGGCAGGACTCAGTTTTTAGAGCTGAGTACAGAGTGTAAAGAAAGGTCTAAAGCAAAGTAATTAACTGAAAGACTTTATAAAGAATGCTATTTTAGAATGCTGTCTTGAGAGCCTCTTATTCTACTCAACACAGTGGTATTATCTACCATATCATGCAGACAACAACAACAAAACGTCAAAATCCTTTCAAAACAATGAGCTATGCAGAACAAGCTAGGTAGGGCTCTTATTTTATGGAGCAGTGGTCGGTACAATAGGGTATATGTCCCCTTGTTTTGGTTCTGGAGTGGGGGAAGGGAGCAGTGTATTGGTTTACTTGCAGAGCTTGTCTATTTCCTGTGCCTTTTCTACTTAAAAATTCATGGTAGCTAACCAAATATCCCAGACCATAGAGGAGAATGTCAGAAAAAATTAATAAATATAAATAAATTGAGGCTATTTGAAGACAAAAGCACAACTTACTGTCCTTCCAGAAAGGGTGATATCTCTAATAAATTTCTAGAAGAAGAGAATAGGGGGGAAAAGAAGATGCAAAACAATAAAAAAAGTTTCAGGAGAAAAAAACAAAACCCCAAAATAGAAGTTTTCAGTTTATAACTGCCCAACAAATTAAGAATAGAATACATATATATATATATATATATATATATATATATATGTGATAAATGGATAGATGAGATAGATGATGCATGATAGATAGATAGATAGATACATAGATACATAGATAGATAGATAATAGATAGATACATAGATAGATAGATAGATAATAGATAGATACATAGATAGACAGCTAGATAAATCCTCATCATATTTCAGGACAAATCGGTAAAGATACAATCCTAAGAGTTTACATAAAAAATTAGTTCGAGAACCATATGATTTCACTGATATGTAGGATATAATACAACATAAGCAATAAAGGAACAAGGCAAACAAATAAAGAAACAAAAACTCATAGACACAGACAATAGTTTAGTGGTTACCAGAGGATAAGGGGGAAAGGGGGTGGTAGATGAAGGTAAAGGAGATCAAATATGTGGTGATGGAAGGAGAACTGATTCTGAGTGGTGAACACAATGTGATATAGATGACGTATTACAGAATTGTACACTTGAAACTCATGTAATATAACTAACCATTGTCACCCCAATAAATTTTAATTAAAAAAAAAACCAGTTTTCTCCCAAAGCAAAGAGAAACAAATTGGCATCAGATTTTTAAGTGTATATAAAAGGATACCTTTTGTACTAATGCCTTCAAAGTTCTGAACTTGATTTTAATATAAGTTTAAAACAAGAGTAATTAAGAAATATAATTTTTTCATGTATTTCTGGAAACAAATAAAGGGGGAGGGGCACTGATATTAGATCGAGTGAAGCTAGCCCAAGAATGTAATGAAAAGAAATTGTAGGTTATCAGCTGTTCTGTGTTCCTGGAAAGCAATTAATTCTGTCTACATAAAAACAATCTATAAATAATGCAGCTAAGAAGCTGAAGAAACTTGATATTGTGAAAAACAATTTTTTGGGGGGTGGGGGGGAGAGTGCTTGGAACAAGAAAAAATAACATCACTTAAAAATTTGAGTGGAGAAAAAAGAAATAGCATACAAAAAAGTAATAGATATGTGGTTTATTGTGAGTAGCACTTAAACGGATAAAAATTGATATGATAAAAAGTGACTAATTCTGAGGAAGGAAAGGAGTAGGAGCCTAGTAGAAGAGAGATATTTTAAAATTTTATTTGTATGTCTTTATTTTATGCTAGTATTTTTATTCTCATATACCTAGATTGCTATTCATTTTTATATGTCACTCATTATATTTTTTCTTTGCATTGAGTACAGATAAAAAAATGGATTTCTCACAGAATGTAAATGTCAGCAGCTTAGCAGGTAATGTTCCTTTTTGTCTATAATGCGCTGTTCTATGTTTGAATCAAGAAATTTCAACCAATTGGCCACATGAATTTTGGCAAATTAAATATTAGTTAAACTTTTAAATGGGGTTATAATAACTATATCATAGACTATCTGGTGTAAATTAAACCAGCTGTGATGGCTAATTTTATGTGTCAGCTTGGCTAGGCCACACATGGTTCCCTGATATTTGGTCAAGCACTAGTCTAGATGTTGCTGTGAAATTACTTTTTAGATAAGATTAACATCAAAGTCAGTAGATTTGAGTAAAGCAGATATATTTGAGTAAAGCCACCATAATGTGGCTGGGCCTCATCCAATTAGTTGAAGGCCTTAAGAGAAAAAATACTGAGGTTCCTCAAAGGAAGAGGGAATTCATCCTTCAGACTCCAAATCTGAGCCTCAGTATCAGCTTTTCCCTGAGTCTTCAGCCTGCCAGCCTACTCTGGACTTTCCAGCCCCAATAAACACATGAGCCCATTTCTTGATATCTCTCTTTCTGTTGTATTTCCCTGACTAATACACAAATTAATATCATATAGAAGCAGTATGATGCAGTGGTTAACAACATGAGCTGTAGAGCCAAACTAACTGGGTTGGAATGTCAGCTCTGATATTTATTTGTTTTATGACTTTCGGAAAATTATACAGTCTCTATGTTACTCAATTTCTCATCTGTAAATTGGGGGTAATAATAACATCTACTTCATAAAGTTTTATTTTATTATATTCTTAGACTTTAATTATGAAAACTAGAAGTAAAATTAGGTACCTTTCAAACAGTACCAAAAATTATTAAGACATAATCAATATTATTTCATCTATATTTCCACCATCAACACTCTCCCAAACTGAATTATATTAAAGCAATTACCAGATAGCATGCCATTTAATACTTAAATATTTCAGTACAGGATTCTTACAGTTAAGGGCTCCATTTGCTTAATACAATCGTAACATCATTTTAACTCCTGTGTTAATTTTCTTTTGATGTATAACAGATTACCACACACTTAGCAGTTTAATCAAATATTATTTAATATCCACCTTCCATGAGTTGGGAGCCTGGGCACAGCTTAATGAGGTCTTCTGTTCAGGGTCTCACAGGATATCCTTTAGGTGTTGGCCAGTCCACACACCTTTCTGGAGCTGAGGTTCCTCGTGCAAACTCATGTGGTTGTTGGTACAATTCAGTTACTTGTGGTTGTAGGATTGTAGGTTGTCACTGCTTTCTTGCTGGCTTTCATCCAGCGCTATTCTAAACTCCTAAAGGGTCCCTGCATTTTCTTGCCATCTGTTGCTCTCACACAGCCTCTCAAGACATGGAAGCCTAATTCCTCAAAGACAATAGGAGTTCTCTCTGCCTTCAGGAAAGGCCCAGTCCCCTTTTTAAGGTTGTGTACCTGACTAAGTCAGGCCCACCTGAGATAATCTGTTTTCATCAACCCAAAATGAACTGACTGAGCACACTTCTTTTGTCTTCAAAAGCCCTTCATCTTGCCATATAATCTAACTTAACCATGGAAGTGATATCCCATTATGTTCACAGGTATGACTAACACTCACGGAGAGGGAATTACACAGGCCATGTACACCAGGCGGTAGAAATCTTGTGGGCCCTTTTAGAATTGTGCCTACCACAACCCCTAACAAAATTAGCAATAACTTCTTAATATTATTTGTTATGTAGTCAGCATTAAAATGCTTTTTTTTTTGCCTTTGATTTGTTAGAATCAGAATCAGAAGATCACAATTGCATTTGGTTAAAATGTCTCAATGTCTATTGAGTCTCTTAATCTTTAGATTCTCTTTACTTCATTTTATTTTTCCTTTGCCATTTATTTGTTGGAAAATAAATGGGTCATGATTTTGTATAATTTCCATACTCTGGATTTTTCTGTTTATATTTCCATCATGTAATTTAACATATTCCACTATTTTATAAAGTTATTTAAAAACTAAATATATGGTAGGTGCTTAGAAACCTGCCTGGCCCCCAATGATGGCTATATATGTTTGTTTTTATTATTACGTAAAGCATCTGAGACAGGAATTGATATAAAGTCTTGCTAAATAAATGTTTTTCTTCATCCTCATCCCCATAATATGTTTTCTAATTATTGAAGACAGCACTTGAAGCTGAGTTAACTATAATAACTCTTTGGACAATCAGTGTCTACATTTTGCATTAAGTTTTGGTATTTTAACATATTACACTGATCATTTGGACAATTTTTAACGTATTTTACAGCTCTAAACTGTACTTTATTGACCAGTCTATTAATATCTACCTAATGGAATCACTTGGTCCAAATGACTCCTTCTCCCTAATAATAGTGAATAAATAGCCCCTTTCAAATTATAAATTGGGAGGTATATTTGAGGTCCTTTTATACCTTTTAGTCCACAACTATGTACTTGTACAGCTGGGATTAGAATCCAGTTCTCTTAAGTCTTCAAATATTTTTTTGCAAAATTATAACTATTTAGAATTGGCAACTCTTGCCCTGGTACAAAGTATATATTTGAGGTAAGGATATATATGAAATTTTATATATTGAAAATTAGTCCATGATAGTCTTCTCTATCTGTTGATGTTACTCCCCCTCCCCTGCCATCTTAGCTGGACATATGAACTCCATTTCTTAAAATACATTTTAACAAAATTTTAGGCTTGTAGATGAAAATATTAACAATGAAAATTATGACATGCTCTAACTTATGGATATGTAATTCAATCATTCAACAATCAACAATTAGACACTATAATCAAAGTGCTAAATTGATAGGAGATTCAAAAATAAAAATGACAGTCACATCAAGAACTTTCCCGTCAGGTAAAAGACAGGGAGATGTTCACAAATGACAAGGACATAGACAATTCATCCTTTGTTAAATGATACGTACATGTTATGAGTCCTAGAGGTGGCAGAAATTATGACTGGTTAAAGGCTTTGTTTTTGAAGTGGAAATATGATTGAACATTAAAAGATAAGTATAATTTAGAGGATGAAATCAGAACAGAAGGCTATTCAAGGCTAAGGGAACACTGAATGAAAAACACAGCAGGATGAACATATCCAGTGCAATGAGGTAAGTATTAATAGTGGTAAGTAATCTCACAGAAATGAACTGCTGGTTGTAGACAACCTCCAGAAAAAGGAGTAAGAATCAGATAGTGGAGGGACTTAAGCAACAGGCTCTTTTTTTTTTTTTCAGTTAGTAATAAACACTCAAGAAAAATTATATATTTGTTTCTTCTAATTATGGGGATCAGAATTCACAAGATTTGTTCACCCCAGTCGTCACCCAAAACCTTTCTGCCATTTCCAGAAATACACAGATTAATGAATTAATCTCATTCTTGTTCTGCTAATAGAACTGCCTTTAATCACAAAAAGCGAGTTGGTAAAACCCATTTTCTAGTCAATTACATTTGATACTATTCACATTTTATTTTTGACTGTAGAGTTTAATTAATTATTTTCCTACCTTTTCTTTCAGAAAATAAGCATATGTGCCCAAATGACTGGCTGTTGAACCAAGGGAAGTGTTATAAGTTTCCAACTTCTCCTAAAACTTGGAATGAGAGTCAACGTGATTGCACAAAACTCCAAGCACATTTGCCAGTGATAAACAATTCTAAGGAGCTGGTGAGGAATCAAAAACAATATCTAGGGCCGGCCGAGTGGCTCAGTTGGTTAAGAGCTCACTCAAGAGTTTGAGCTCTCAGCAACAGCAGTTCGATTCTCAGCCCGAGCTGAGCTGCCTCTGAGCTGCCAACAGGTGGCAGGATGGCTCAACTAAAAAAACCCCAAAAAGCTGTGGGTAGTTTATACTCATTGCTTTTGAACAGTCATTAACCATAATATAATTACTATTGTTTATGATAAAAACATATTATTTATGAAATAAATGATTATTTACCATTTCATCTACGCCTGGCACAGTGCCTTATTCTATAGTAGGCATTGACTTTTTTTCCCCCCAAAAAATGAATGAATGAACACACAATTTCCTCCATAGGAGTTCATACAGAAGAGTTTAAAACCTGGGTGTCCTGTTTGGATTGGACTATATGTTATATCCCCAGGAAAACAATGGAAGTGGATAAATGAACATGATTTTTTGAAACAAAAAATGTAAGCAATTATTTGAGGGACAGGGATGGCGTAGTGATGTTTTATTTACAGAAAAGTATTTTAAATTAAGCTTCCTTAATTTCCAAGTCTTTTTATCTTTCTCTTTTCTTTTAAAATTTTTCTCTTCATTTTTCTTCCTTTCTTTTTCTTCTGTTCATCCTTTTTTTCTTTTTTGCTTCCTTTCCTTTTTCTTTTAACATTCAGTAATGTTGAGAGAATGGGGTTAGAAAGTATTCATATGACATCTAGATATTATTGTCAAAAATGATAATTAAAAAGAAATTTTAAGCTGACTTGGATCTCATTTAAAATAATTTTAATCAAATATTTTCTATTATAGTAAATTCAAAGATAAAATTCACTTGTAAATAAAAGCACCTGGAATATATAAAAACATCTCTTGAACTGAAATAAAAAATTGTGAATTTACAAGTAAAGTTTTGCCCTTAGAAAATTCTCCCATTTTTTTATATCAATTTCTTCACCTGTATAAAAACAATAATGAAACTTTCCTCACAATGTTCTTGTATGAACAACATAGGTAAGTCATATAAGAGTGCTTTAAATTTCTTAAGTGTCATATACATTTACACATTCTTCTTTGAGATCTCATATTCTTTACACGTTACACTACTATAGCACCTGAGATGTGGCAAGTTTGGAGCAAAGGCCGTGGAGTGATAATTACTTTCAGTGTTGGTATTTATGTACTCTTAGTTATTAATACTTCTATTCTCCATTTACCATCATCTTTCATCAATATAAAACTAAAGTATGAAGCAGTATTCATTTTTGGAACTATTTTGATTATGATGTTTGACAAAAATTAGTAAGAAATGCTTGGGATCTTTTATTTTATTTGAAAACCAACATATTATAAGGGAACCATAGCTCTTTTTTAAAAGGTTTCCTTTAATCATTTAAGAAAAATGATGTGCACAGAGGAGAGGGTGGTAGATGAGGGTAAAAGGAACCAAATATACGGTGATGGAAGGCGAGCTGACTCTGGGTGGT